GGTTGACTATGTGGGAGTCCAGCGACATAGCCATTATGCTAACTGCTGGTTCCCCAGCCCCTTTTTTTAAATAAAGGTTTTTGCCTTAGGGCATGTGCACTTGCCAGAGAGAGAGAGACATACAGAGACAGTGAGAGGGAAGGTGAGAAATCACCCCTTGAGGCGATGGCCACGCTGCTATCTCTTCTCCTGGGACCTCAGGCGTGCACACACACATGCCAGGCGTGAATTTTAAGCTGCTGGGTCTGGGACTTGAATCGCAGTCATCCAGGTGGGAGTCTAGTGACATAACCACTATGTCATCTGCTCGCCCCTAAGCTTCTTTTAAACTGTTAAGTTTTTTTTTTTTTTTTGAGAGGTTTTCACTATAAGGTGCGTGCAACTGTCCGTGCACTTGCCAGACAGACAGAGAGACAGAGAGACAGAAAGCGAGAAATCACCCCCCCAGGGGGGATGGCCACGCCGCGATCCCTTCTCCTCCATTCTCCTCTTGGGATCCTGGGCACGCACGCACACATGCCTGGTGTGAGTTTTAAGCCACCGGGTCCAGGACGTGAACCACGGTCGAGTACGTGGGAGTCCCAGCGACATAGCTATTACGCTAACTGCTGGTCCCTAAACTGTTAAGTATTTTTAAAAGAGATAAGAGAGGGGCCAGCAGGTGGTGTGGTGAAGGCAGCTGGACTCTTTTTTAAGAATTATTTCACTTAACTTTATTTATTTTAATTTGACTGGCGGAGGGAGGGAAGGAGGGAGAAAGAAAGAGAGAGAGAGAGAAAGAAAGAGAGAAACCAAGCCACCAGGTCTGGGACTCAAACCACAGTTGGCCATATGGCAGTCCAGCACCCTTAACTACCACGCGCCACCTGCTGGCCCCAAGGCAGCTGGACTCTTACATGGCTGACCATGGTTTGAGTACTGGGCCTGGGAGCTTGCTTTCTTTCTTTTCTTCTCTTTCATTGTCTCTCTCTGATCAACTTCCAAAAAAAAAATGACAACGATTAAAATTAAATAATTCTTTTTAAAGAGTATTTAGATGTATACAAATGTTTTATAATTAAATAGTTAAACAATTGAAGAAGAATGGGGCCAGTGGACAGCATGGTGGTTGGAGCACTGGGCTCCCACATGGCTGACCATGGCTTGAGTCCTAGACCTGGCAGCTTGCTTTCTCACTTTTCCCCTCTCTCTCTCAGTCTATTTCTATTAAAAAAATAATAAAATTAGATAAAATAATTCTTTAAAAGAAGAAAGAAAGAAAATATGCTGGGCGCATGTACGTGTGTGCCCAAAATCTCAAAGGAGGTTGGAGAAGAGACTGCAGTGTGGCCATCACCCTGGGGGGTGGTCTCTCTCTCTCCAGTAAGTGCACACGCCCAGTGACTAAAACACAAAACGGAAGCAAAACCCCACCCACGCTCCTACCCGCTTCTCAGCCCTGACCCCTCCGTGCAGCCCCTCGGCCGCCCCGCTCGGCCTTCCCATGCTGTGAGGGCACTGAGGACTTCCTGGGCAGGTGGGGTCTGGGCGTGTCGTCACGGCAGAGGCAAGAGCAGGTGCGAGCCTTCTGCCTCTCCCCAGCCGAGTTCGTGCTGCAGTGGATGGAGGTCGGCCTGTCCTCGGAGTTTCTGCTCGTGCTGGTCAACTTGGTCAAGTTCAACAGCTGCTACCTGGACGAGTACATCGCGCCGATGGTTCAGTAAGGAGCCGGGGCAGTGCTGTGCCGTTGGCCGCCCGCCGTTGGGGTGCCGGTCAGATCTGTGGGGTGGCCAGGTTTCAGCTGGGTTGTTGTAAACCCATGCCACATGGGCAAGTAGGAAGTGGAGTAGTCCCCTTCCCCTCTGCTGTCATCTGGTGTTTCAGTCCCCTCGTCACTCTCTTTCAACACACTTAGTGATGGTCACAGGGAGGGCCTTGTGCCAGACACCAGCCCTGAGGCAGTGGTGGGCACCGAGCAGGTGCCGAGTGTCTGCCGGGTGAGGGGATCCCAAGGATGACAAGCCTCTTGCGTGAGAGTCCAGAAGCCCACTGCAGCTGCTTGGCCTCTGGGAGGTGCCGGGACTGACGGGGTGTCCTTCCTCCGCAGCATGATCTGCCTGCTATGTGTCCGGACTGCCTCAGCTGTGGACATAGAGGTCAGTGCCCTTCCCCGGGGCTGTGCATCCCACCTTGCTCTATAAGATTGGGGCTTGGGTGGTCGAGTGCTGTGCACCCCTGTCTGGCTGTCTGGCCTCTCTGAGCCTCAGGAGTTTCCGTTGGGCAGTTGCGTGGTCTCTGTCATGGGTCCCAGTGCGGAAGGGCCATGTGATGTTGCCAGCCCTCACTGTGCACCTCGGGAGGCCGCTTCAGCACAGGGGAGAGGCACCTGGCCGAAGGAGGGCTGGGAGGTGCCTAGGGTGGGTTCCCGGATTCCAGTGTGACCTCGCCCCTGCCAGGTCTCCCTGCAGGTGCTGGATGCTGTTGTTTGCTACAACTGTCTGCCGGCTGGGACCCTGCCCCTGTTCGTTGTCACCCTTTGCCGAACCGTCAACGTCAAGGAGCTCTGTGAGCCCTGCTGGAAGGTGGGCTCTGCCTCTGCAGCCCGTGGGCCCCTGGCACCATGTCTGGAGCAGGCGCTTGCCCTGCAGAAGGGCTGTCTGTCTCCAGTGGACTCCTAGTTGTTGGGGACAGGCGATGGCTTGTGGAGGGGAGCCTCGTGGCATGTCCATAGGCAGTCGAGCTGAGGTTAGGGTGCTCTGAGGACTCTGCTGCCTCTGTGGTGGCAAGGAGCCAGTGGAGACCGGACGGACCGGGGACTGGGAGGAGCGTGGGCCGGACTGGGCCTGGCTGGCCCCAACGAGGTGCATTTGGTCCCCAGCTCATGCGGAACCTCCTGGGCACCCACCTGGGCCACAGCGCCATCTACAACATGTGCCGCATCATGGAGGGCAGGCGAGTGTGGGTGCCAGCGGGCTGGGGCCAGCGTGGCATTTCCTATTCCTTTTGGGCATTATTCCAGAAGCTTCTGCAAGAGCTGGGCATCTGTCTTATGCATGTGTTCCTTATCCTGTCCCCCTCCTGCCCATAAGCCAAACACCTGAGGTTGCACTGAGGACGCCCTCCCCACACCTGGGTATCGGGGCCGCATTCATCCATGACAAGGCTAAACTGACAGCTTGAGCCTGACCTGCTCGCCAGCCCGTTCCCCGCTGCTGCTTCTGCTCCTGAGAGCGGCTCGCTGTCCCTCTCCTTCCTGCACTGGGGCCTCCCAGGGCATGTCTCTGCCAAGAGGCAGGTGGTAGCCCAAGTATCGATGTGAGCGGTCCCCTTCGGCTGCAGCCGGGTGCATGCAGCTCCCCTAGATCAAAGCTCCCCACCACGTGACTTGACCTGGGTGGTCCTGCCTCGGCTCCACTGGCTTCCCTGCACGCCCCCCTTGCTGTCCTTGCACCGTAAAGGCTTTGCAGACACGCTGCTGCCTCTTACTGGAGTCCCTTTCCATCTGTGCCAAGCTGCTCCGAACATCCTGAGACCTCGCATGGCCGTCAGTCCCCTGACCTCCCACGTAGCCTTGCCCTCGTGGTCTCCAGTCCCAGCTCTGTCTCATGTCACCCGAGGTGGACAGCTGGCATTGCTCAGGAGCCTCAGTGGCCTCTGTCTTTAGTCTGAGCATTGGGGCCTGCAGGCCGCCTCATTCTTTGTGCTGTCCCTGGCATCTGGTGACCCACTGTGTGGCCCCAGACTGGGTGTTGAATGACCCCTGTGCCTCTGCCCATCCCATCGCCCTTCCCACCTAAGTTCTGCTTCTTGAGCGTAGGGCCTGCGGGGCTGCCAGAGCCCAGGTGTCTTCAGAGCGCCCGGTCTCCTTGCAGCCTGAGGCAGACCTGGCTGGGCTCTGCTCACGGCCCACCCTGGGGTGCTTTCAGAGCCTACATGGAGGATGCCCCGCTGCTGCGGGGAGCTGTGTTCTTTGTGGGCATGGCGCTCTGGGGGGCCCACCGGCTCTACTCGCTCAGGAACTCGCCCACGTCCGTGCTGCCGTCGTTTTATGAGGTGAGGCGGTCTCTGCACTGCAGGGAGCTGGCTGGAAGCAGAGGGCTCCCCTTGGCTGCCCAGCTGGGATTCTGCTGCAGGGGCAGCTCGGTCCCCCCAGAGAGCAGCCCTCTTGCTGTAGGGGATGGTTCCATCTCCACGGTGCCGGGGCATCCAGAGCACTCGCACCGCGTGTGAGCTGGGCAGCCCTCGCCTTACAGCGGGCAGCTCAGACCGTGGTGTCTGCCTCCTCACGGGGGCGGCAGGCGGTGCCCTTGCGAGCGCAGTTAGAGTGACTGGCCCAGTGGGGACTGCCTGCGGGGACACCAGCACAGGTGGGAACATGCCCCAGGCTGCTCCTGTGTTCCCAGGGCCTGTGCTATGTGTGCCGTGCACGGCTCACTTGGTCTCTGCAGCTCCAGGGTGGCACGGTTGGGCCCCTGCCCCTCATTGAGCCGTGCTAACCTGGGCTCCCGGTCCCCCGTTCTAGGCTATGACCTGCCCGAACGAGGTGGTGTCCTACGAGGTCGTCCTGTCCATCACCAGGCTCATCAAGAAGTACCGGAAAGAGCTGCAGGCCGTGACATGGGACCTCCTGCTCAACATCATGGAGCGGCTGCTGCAGCAGCTCCCGGTAAGCGGGTGGACGGCTCCCGGAGGACGGGGAGGGCAGCTCCCCGGCTTGCAGAGCTGCCCAGGCACCACGTGCCCAGTCTGAAGCCAGACCTGTTGTTCCAAACATGCGCTGTTCTAGCCCAAGGCAGGAGGGGCAGGAAGGAGCCAGACTGGGTGCGTGTTGCTCAAGGGGATGGTGCTTGCAGGTCCCTCTCTGGCCTGAGTAGTGCCTGTGACCATTCCCAGAGCATTTGGGATGCTAGCCGTGACTGAGGTGTGGTTCTGGAGGACAGGGTTGGTCAGGCCTGTTGACTGCAGTACTCAGGATGCCCTGGGCACATGCCCACGCTGCTTAGGTGGGCTGGACGAAGGCCAGGCCAGTGTCCAGTTGGGGCCACGGCAGGTGGTGTACAGGTGGCAGCCCAGCGGAAAGCAGGGCTAGGACTCAGTGGAGACTGCGGTTTCATCCCCTTAGGCCGGTGCTGGCCAGACCACAGCCAGTGACTGGCTGGTCAGGCGGCATTTAAGCCTGACGTGGTGGGGTGGGAGGCCACACCCCAGGCCTCCAGAAATGCTAGAGTTGGCAGTGGGAGAGCTTGCGTGTGTTGTGGCTCTGTCCCTGAGGTCTGGCTGTTGGGGCACGATAGGACGCCAGGGTGGGGACCAGGCAGGAGAGCTGCTGCTGTGGGAGACCTGAGGGGTGTCAGGGAATGGCTGACCCTGAGCCAGCCTTGGTGGACCCATGTCGGGCTGCAGTGTCTAGACAGCCCGGAGCTCAGGGCCATCGTTCACGACCTGCTGACCACGGTGGAGGAGCTGTGTGACCAGAACGAGTTCCACGGCTCGCAGGAGAGGTACTTCGAGCTGGTGGAGAAGTGTGCGGGCCAGAGGCCGGTAAGACCCCTGCAGCCGGGGTGCTTTGGTCAGGGTGTGGGGGCCCCGCCCAGAGCCGAGGTGCCACGTGCTGGGCGGGTTTCCGAACAGGCTCCTGCATGCCTGGGGCGGGGCTCGTCAGGGCAGTTTGCCGGGCGGCCGGCAAGGGCCGTGGCTCTGTGGGAGAGTGCGAGCAAGCCCTGGAGAGGGAGGGCTGGCTTCTGCCTCTCTGCCTTTGCTGAGTGGAGCCCCGGGCCTCGGTGCTCTTGGGAGTCACAGCGCTTTGCCAGGAGCGCTTAGCTTGACCAAGCCAAGGCTCCCATGGGCCTTCATGTGACTTTCCCCTCAGCCAGCAGCACCTCTGTCCCTTGGGACTCTCCACCTGCACCCCAAGGAGGCTGCTCACTGAGCAGAGTCCTCCCGAGAGGCAGCTGGTGGCCTGTCAGTGTGGCCTCCCCAAGGCTGGAGCAGCTCACAGACATGGGCTCCTCCTGTCGCAGGAGTCCTCCCTCTTGAACTTGGTATCCTACCGAGCCCAGTCCATTCACCCGGCCAAGGACGGCTGGATCCAGAGCCTGCAGTCGCTGATGGAGAGGTTCTTCAGGTGTGTCCTCGGGCCCTCGGCCGACGACCGGGGCTCTCATCCCGGTTTCGAGACTCCCTTGCTGAGCCGGGAGGGTTTGTTTGCTGGAGGGTCCTCTGACGAGGCGGGGGCGCTCCTCCCCA